ATGTCAAACATGGAACTGTTGCCCAATATGTCTAACATTATGGACGACCAGTTGATGCAACTGCTCGACAACCAGAACTATATGGTCTGATCCATGGCTGTTGTCATTGTCATTGTTCTCACTATTGATTGTCTCCTCAGATGACAGACGGCTCTCATTTGGTGCCGAATCAGCGAAACGTGACTCCAATGGACAGCCATTCGGTGAACAGCGGACAGAACTCCTCGAATTCAATGCAATCTTTGGACAGACATTCAGTCGAGTCGTGTACTTATGTCTCCAATCAATACGAACCTCAATACCACTCATCGCAGGAATCGCATCGCTTTAAGTATAGAAGCAGTGGCTTGTCTTCAGTGGCAGAGACTGTCACTCATGTCTCGGAAACTGATAATTCAATTTCTGGACAAAACACTTATGGAAGCGTTGGAAACCTATCGGTTCCACAGAACTATCCGTGCGTTCACTCATTTCATANGCTTTAAGTATAGAAGCAGTGGCTTGTCTTCAGTGGCAGAGACTGTCACTCATGTCTCGGAAACTGATAATTCAATTTCTGGACAAAACACTTATGGAAGCGTTGGAAACCTATCGGTTCCACAGAACTATCCGTGCGTTCACTCATTTCATATCAATTATCAATTAATTATGAATTTCATTGTCAGAATGGCTTCAATGAACAATTGGTCCCACAATCAGAACCACAACAATATGATTGGACACCAAAGCCGAGGGCCCAAAGACCTAGTGATGAGTGGAAGCGTTCAGCCCAACCATATGAATGCCGTCAAAGTGACCCCTCCTTCCAGTTATATTCCTCGGCACCGAATCTCAAACTTTGTTCCAAACGTGTCGGCAATGAATCCGTCGACAACTTCAACGCCTGTCAACCAAACCATGAATAATATGATTATTCATAACAATAATCACAATAATATCTCAAACATGAACGTTCATAAAAATCACTCACAAGTGATCAATGAAAGTATAGTCCAAACGCATGCCATGGAGTCACCGGGAGCTCTGAAACGAACTTTGATTATATTTAAAGTTATCGATCAAATCGTCGATAAGTCGGGAAAAGTTCTCAAAGAGACTGTCGTTAAGAATG